CCCTAGTGGCTTTTTCAGCCATTTTAATGGGCTTAGCGCCATTTCTTTCTTTTGAACCAATATTTCAATAAGGAATGGTGTCTTTATTCTGCTCGAAATTTCATATTTTTTTAGATTAAAATACATCTTAGTTACTATGCTTGATAAATTATATTGGAATTCTATGGCATTAATGTAGTAATTTGTGATTTTTTAGTTATTCAAATGTGTATATTAAACCTATAAAAAAATTACTTTGTTTCATATCCCCCACGTGCAAGTTTTTTAAAGACTTTGCAACTTATGTCAAACAGCAACCAAGTACAAAGGTGGTAACTAGAAGAGATAATTGTTTGCTTTAATTCTTTATTTACTGTTCTATGTTTTAAGAAAAAAATAAGTTTAAGAACTTATTTCAAAATAGCAATAATCTATATACATATATAATTTACAATAATTGAAATGTGACTGTATTTTACAAAATACTAGTCTACTAAAGCACAGTCAAGACAAGTTACTTTGTACAGACCAAAGGTCATTGTAACTTCTGTATTCTTAGCCAGTCACAACTGAAAGGTCAATATAATAAAGTAATAAATATATATAAATGTATAATGTTATAAAATTTAAGCTATTTAGTCTAAACATTTATGTTTTTGTGTTATAATTTGTGTTCATTCTAGAATGAAAGAGGTATAACTTATATTTATTTCCCAATTTTTTATGTTGGTTGCAAGATCAGTCAAATCTACTGAACTCGTACAGAGATTAATTATTGAAAATAACAGATAAAATATAGTTTTTTCTTGAGAAACGTTTGATAACTATCTTGACATTATAAAGATTTTGCATGTTAAATTTAAAAAGTTTCTGATGCATAAAAGTATTTTTAATCTTAAAATAAAAATTACTTTGCATGATAGATAGGCAACATGTGAAAAGAAAAAAAAAAGGCATGAGAAAAACATTGCTTTAAAAACTTTAAAAGCATATGAAAGCATTGTAATGTTTACTGATAATCTGCCAACTTTCATTAACATTCGCATACTAATTTAAAAGATATAGCATGAAACTATAACAAGCACAAAATGGTTACGAGGTTGGTCCCAGTGACCAAGGTCATGCTGAAAGAATTAAGCAGTTAACAAATTTTGTTTCAAGTCCCATAAGTAATTATTCCACTAGACTATATTTCTAACTTATAAGTATTAAACATATTTTTAAGTGAAACTTTTATCTACGGTAATTCCAAAATTAAAAGCTTTGATTTCACAAATGTTTCAACATTTGACCTTTTAGGAAACAGAGTTAAAAGGATAAAAGTAATATGTTTATAAAACAGGGTTCACTTATTTATTGAAAAAAAAAGAGAGAGACTGATACAGTTTAACTTAATAGCATGACTGAAAATTAATCGGGACTCAAAACTTGATCGCTTTCGAATAGTTCACTATTCTAAAGTGCTCGAGTTTTGGGTCTTGTTTGAAAACCATTAAAACTTTTGTATGTGATCCTGTGCTAACTTCTTAATCAGAACAAAAAATCTGGTAAACTGGAATAAATCTACAAAATGGAAGTGTGACAAAAACATTTAACTCAAGTTCATTAACTACTGATATGGAGACATGGACTTTGAAGGAGGAGTGCAGTCCAACCCCTAGAACCCACAGAAAAGGCAAAGGTGATCGTGGGAACTTATTTCAGACAAAGGGTGGAACAAGATGGAGATAAAATCTCCTTGCAAACATACCAAAAAATTATTCTTGATGCCTCACCTTCCAGTGTGTCTTGTGAATTAATTTTTCAGTGATGGTAGTGACATCTATAGTACTGAATGTTTACTTTTCCTTAAACACAATTTGCCTTTTGTTAGTTTTAAGTACTGATATTTTTCATTAAATGCATGGTGAAACTTCAGTTGTCATAATGTTGTTTATTTAAATATTTAGTCACTGAAAACTGTATGTGTTCCCATGAACATAGGGACTGTTGCTAAATATGTGATATACTGACCTATGTTGAATACAGATTTGACAAGAATTTCTTTAATTTTATTTTTCTTACTATTCAGCCCCTGAAAACTTCTAATGGTAGCAATAAAGTGGTGTATGAAATGTTAAATTTTACATAGAAGCCTTAAAACCATTTTCTGCTTCTAACATCCAATACCTGTAAACAATTATTAATTCATGACCTGTACGCAATATCTTACCTTTGTGAAGGACAGCATTGGCTGGCTTATTTCCAGCTAATGACTCTTTGGACAAATGCTGGTGAGATTCTGCTAGGCATTCCAACTCTGCAAACCTGCGTAAAACATGGAATAAATCTTAAAACTGCACGCAAATCAAATAATGAGTCATTAATGTCACTTATGAAATGTCTCCCGGTATCCTTCATAACCTTGATTTTCCATGACTTTTTCATTATTATAGTCTAATTTTTCTGTATGTCCTTGTACAAAAAAATATTAAACTGCATTCGTAAGCCTAAATTGCTCGATAATTATAAAAATTCAGTCAAAATATTTATATACTTTAAAGAAAAAATATGTTGTTTTATTCAGTTAAAGCATTTTATTTTACTTTGTGATAAGCTGTTGGCTGCTATACTGCAGTAGCCTTAGATTTATAGTTAAATAGCACGTTATACAGGGTGACCCAAAATTATATTTCCTATTTTAAAGTTTGATAATTAACTAGCTAAGGAAATACAACCATGCAGTTTTCGACTTCTTGTAGCCGAACTCAAACAGTTTTTAATGATACATTTTATTTTTCACTCCAGTGAGTAGTTACCCTGCAAAATGTCAACTGTGCAAGAAAAGGTTCAATGGATCATTTGGCTTGTAGAGACCAAATCAGTTACTATGGTGCAGCATCATTACAGATGCCAGTACATGAAGAAAGTATGGGGGTATGTTAAGGATATTGTGTATAGCAAACATCATGGACCTAAAGACCAGGATAATAGATGGCATTGCCACTGTAACAACGGGCGTGTTGCTATGAACGTGGACTGAAATCGAATATCGGGTAGACGTGCTGATAGCCATTAATGGTGCACCTGACATATCAATAAAAACTGTTTGAGTCGAGCTACAAGATGTTGAAAACTGCATGGTTGTATTTCTTTAGTTCGTTAATTATTAAATTTTAAAATAAGAAAGGTAATTTTGGACCACCCTGTACAGGAAATTTTATTCATTAAGCATTGTGGTAATATTTTAGACCACCCTGTACAGGAAATTTTATTCATTAAGCATTGTGGTAATATTTTTAAAGCAGTAACAATGTTTAACAAATGCAGTGTCAGGTATAACAGTGTGTGTGTGTGTGTGTGTGAAATTTATAATATAAAATAAAACCTGACAAGCGACTACAGTTTAATAGGCTTAAACTTGTTACAAAGTAGGCTTAAGCTTGTTACAAAGTTATAAAACTAACAAATTAAAGTGAAAACACTTTTTTTTCATTATCAACCCAAATTACGATTGAAATCATCTTTTCTCCTTGGTTGTTTACGAGAGAATCTTCCTCACTGCTTATTGCCATGTAAGTAACACACCGTTCAGTGATCTCTCTCATAAGCTTTTCCAAAAATAGCATTTCAACATGTGTAACTTTAACAATTTACATCATCAAAACCCCATAGAATACTTTATTTTCAGGTGGGTTTTCTTTCCTATTGCTTGAGTACTGATGGCACTAAAGGCAAAAGGTGGGGAGATTTATGTGAATATTGTAGAAACAGGTTTACTAGTATTCCACAAATAACTAACAACTCGTAGTTAAAACATTTTATGTGGGAAGTCTTAAATGAATGTTTTACAAACAATGCATTCTACTATAAATATCACCACAACAAAGCCATATAAAAGTAGTCATTCATTAATTAATAAATAATCTTAAGAGAAACAAAATTTGTACATCATCATTGAAGTTGACTAGTTTTGGAAAATAGTAAAAAGATATATAAGCATGTCATTAAAATGAGCATTTTGTTTATAAACTTAGAATTCTAATTACCAGTGATGCTCGTAATAGCGAGGTATGACCACATATAGCACCATAGAAAAAAAATAATTAATTCTTACCGAGCATTTAAGGCCATGGCAGGATGGCCACTGTCCTGGGTTAGGTTTAAGTAGGCAGCTCGACGTAGCTGTTCTTCAATGACCAGAGCTTGTTCTAAAAGCTAAATATAAAATATCTCAAATGTATAGGCTTTCAATGTTGTCAAGAAATAGAAACAATCTACAAAAAGACATTAAATACCATCGTGTATGAAGGTAACGGTTGAGAAAAAAGTATAACTGGTATCATAATGCAGCTAAATACAGATTATAAAATATAACTTCAGGATTACAATTATAATAACAAATGTTAATATAATTCTTACAGCAATGTTGTTTTTGAAGATATTGTTGGAGGATGTTTTTCAGAGTCATGCACTGGATGGTTCTATCATGTTGAAATGCTCAGTAATTTGAAATGTTTCTTAATATAAAATAAGTTTAAGAAATCCATAAAAGGTTAAGTCACTAGATATATGAACACACAGATTTTTTTTAATTTTGAAAAATAATAGTTTTTGAAACCTAACAGTAAGGAAACAATGAATAATTTTTTCAATGTGTAAATTTTCAAACAAAAAACTATCTCAACTCTAAATCTTATGTTTTTAATCTATATCACTTTTCTCTTACATTATTGTTTTCAACTCTGAGAAAAATAGTCACCCTCAGTTTTTAATGTGTGAGAATAAAAATTCAAGCCAACTACTAGTGATAAGGGAAAGGTGAAACTTGAACACCAAAATGTACAAATTAATTTTATTTAAACTTCAACAAGTGGATAAAAGATGATGAAAACCTTTTGAAGTATTATACAACAAAGTGGTTGACAGAAGATGATTTTGATCTATAGATGTCAACTCGCCACTAACAGTATCGCATCAGGGAATAGATTAGGCCTCTACATCATCGGTTATTCACTGAAATTCACATTTTGGTAAGGAAAGGAAATTCATAAATAACCAGTTAGTCTGCTCAATAATAACAGATAATTTATTGTGATGGTACATCATGTTATCCAAACAATAAAAGTATTTTATGTTATTAGTGGTAAGTAAAGGACTATAGATCAAAACCAAACAAACCGCTGGCATTCAAAACACTATATAAGGCCTACTTTGTTTATTTGCTTCACTACTCCGTGCAGCACTGATGAGCTGTAAACTCACAAAAACAAGTCTAATGCAAAGGAAGTAGTGACCCAAAGAATAGGTTAGGCCTCTACGTCATCTTTTCTTCACTAAAATTACACGTTTTGGTAAAGGCAAAATTAACAACTAAAGAAAATGATTTTGGTAATACATTTTGTGGATTGTAACAAGTAATGAAACTGATATACTATGTTTTGATATTATATCTTTACCTTAAATCTTCGAGCCAGGAATTTATTCTTGATTTCGAGGAAGTTACCTTTGCCAACATCCATTTTGAATGGTTCGTTGATGATGGCAAAAACAGGATCATTCTGGATATCCTGCCAGCGTCCATAACCATGCCTATACAGCTGGTTAAAGAAAAGCACTAATGCCACACAAAATTCAATTTTGTATTTAATACTCTTTAAAACAAAGGCCAAAACCAACATACATTTAGAAGAATCCACTACTTTGAAAAACACAAAATAGGACAAATAACTAAAATAAATAAAATATAAAAAAAGCAGCAAAAAAGAACCTGGTTTTTAGAATCTTCTCTGTAAATGACATTCAAAGCTCACAAATAATATTTCAGGTTTTCTTTTGGTTATTATTTTTCTTCTTTCTTTCACTTACAGTTTTTTCCAGTATCTCGTGTTACAGATACTAAAAGAAACAGTTCATTAGCGATCTTATTCATAACCAATACAGAATTAAATTCTTGATTACAATAGGTTTCCGAAATAATTTAATTTTAGCTAGTCATCACCACCCACCGCCAACCCTTGGGCTACTCTTTTACCAATGAATAGTGAAATTGACCATCACATTATAATGCCCCCACGGCTGAAAGGTTTGTTGTGATGGGGATTCGAACCCGCGACCCACAGATTGCGAGTCGAGCGCCCTGACCACCTGGCCATGCCAAGCCACATTAATAATGACCTCTAGGTGCAAGGATGCAGAAGTTGTGATTGTGATATTCTGAACTGTAAATTCAATTGTATTAAAGTACTCTTATGTACATTTATTACTGAAACTCAGTGAAATTTTTATCAAGATCACAGATTGACTCTGGAAATGACGTCACATCAAACTCTCAGTATATACAACAGCTGACAAGAAGTGCAAGTTTTAGTGTATTAATCCTGCATCCATTGGATTGAGCTCATATTGAAGAATTAATATTTACTACAATTCTGAATATATTACTGTTATCCTCACAAAATTTGGTAAGCTTTTAGTAAACATTACATGTACCTTGTACAGAAAAAAAATATAATTTTTTAATAATGTATTTCTACTACAGATTTATCCGTGAATTTACAGAGTCAGTCTGACTCAGACTACTCTGAGTGCAAGTTGATTTTTACATGAGGAATGAAAGTACTTTTTTCATCTCTCAGTTTTCCTATTTCACTGGCATAACCTGTAGAACCTCTTAAATGAACATCAAATTTTTTCAGTAAAACTTTATCTCTTACTTTCTCCACCTAAACATTAACTACATCAAATTATCTGTAGCAAAAGCTTGTAAGTACAAAATATAAACAAAAAAAAATTTTTTTTTTTCTTAGCATGAATACAGACTGTAATACAATTATTTATTTTCAATCTTTTGGGCTTCTTAACTTTTCACAACTGGTTTTTATTAACATACATTGACAGTAAAGTTGAATAACTAAAACTTTGATTGTAACCGTAAAAGGTCATGATGTGCACACTTTGACCCTCATCCACACACACATAGGGTTAAATAACTGACAGGGAATATAAACGTTATAATGTTTATACATGTTTGTACATGTATAATACATGTATTTATACGTGTTTGCAAGCTAATGTTTGTACCATATATAAGTAATAGTTACAGATTATGGAAAATGTGTGTACACACACACTGGAATATCGCAGATACCCTGTACTCACACGAGTTAAAAAGATATGACATCATTAAATTGAAACTTTATGATCGTGTATAGTGCACTATGTTTACATAAACAATGAGATCTCATCAGAATGCACGTACAGTAATGGCCCTGAAATCCACATAAGATCTCACGGAAAGAAAGAAAAAGACAAATTCATTCATCATCTTGACAGATATTCAGGTTCGATGACGAGGAACCCACTTTGAGAACTAATAATGGTTGGAGACGGCTTGAATGTACCTGATGATGACAAAACCTTGTACATTTGTTGTTATGTTAAACTTATATTAAAGTTTTTTCTTCATTACCCATTCAAGCCATCTCCAACCATTATTAGATATTCAGGTGTTAAGCCTGGGATGGTCAGAAATAATTATTCCTCTTCATCCCACTCACGAATATAGTATGGGACTTGATGATATACAGCTTCCTTGGTGCTCAGATTAAGAGTTTGTTTTATTAGACGTAGACTTTCTTGTAGTAGTTTTTGTACAAATTTCGTAAGAGTTTGTGGTGGAGGGGGGGGGAGATAAGCAACTACTTCAATGCTTTTAAGAATCTCGCTACGAGCTCAGTCAAATCAGCCAAGTTCGTGACCTCAAATTGACCTTTATAGTTGCCACTCTATAACCTCTATGTTTTGTGTATCTTCACAAAACTTCACGAGCTTTCAGTAATCATTAAGAGTCATTTGTAGACAAAAACTCAGAAACTTTATTAAAGTATTTCCACTAAAAATTTCTCCAGAAATATATGGGGTCAAAGTGTTGACTCTTCTGAGTGAAAAGTGATTTTTATGTTAAGATTTAAAAAATCCTCCTTTTTCTTCATCTGAAAAATCTCAACTTTCAATTTACATAATATGCACGAAATAATTTTTTACTTATTTAATTAATGCAACAGAGAACATAGAATAATAACATGCAAAAAGCATAACTATCACAATATATCTGGCTTTTTAAGAAGAGACATTAAAAATTCGGCTAAGCTAATCGATGTGTTTTCCATTGGAATAAAGTTTGAACTGGAATTGAAATAGACAGAAAACAACTAAATATGATATGTCACTTGATAGATTAAAACCTTGGCATTCTATCGGTTATAAATAATATAGTATTAAACATCAAAAAGAACTATTGGCAATTTCTAAATGAGATGATATGACAAGTGAGCATGGCAAGATGGGTTTGATTTTCTAAGTGATGGCTCTGTAACTAAATAAGATTGAAAGCTATAAAAATTATGCTTTGCCTGAGTGATGACAACATTATAATGAATAATTTATGTTAAATTTTGTACTTCTTGAAGGGGTGGTAGATAAAGTAGGGAAGAGGGAATTGCCTAAAGAGAAAATGTCACAATTCACATATTAGGGGAAATTCAGGATTATTTATAAATATTCCCTGATAAAAATTAAGATTTTAAAAGTTATATAATATTAAAATTTAGATCATTAGATACGATTTTATGCCAAACTAGTTTGTATACCATGATAACAAAGTGGTTTAATTAAATTTTGAAAGTAATTCACTAAAACCTCATGATTAGCACAGAAAAAGATTCCTGTAGTGAAAGTGTTAAAGTGCTCTGTGTGAACCCTGAAACTTTTTGGTACAAAATCCTGGTTTATAGGCTCAAAGATTGAGAAAACAGACCCATCACCAACCCTTGGATCTAGAAAAACAAGCAATTAAAAATTAACCAAAAGTCTAAGAACAGGTTGAAATGTTAAGAGAGAGTGTGACCACATACAGTAAAGGTATATGCTGAGGAAAGTACATGCACTTTGCATTGAAAGACATCAGTAGAGAGCATGGGATACAGACAGTAGTTATTTGAATAAGAACAAAAGAAAGGGAAATTAACTGAGGAGAAAGTAGGGGGGAATAACAACTGTCTAAATCTTGTCGTAGCTTTCAGTAACAGTGTCACAAAATTATACTCTTTGAAGTTTCAACCCATTCTTCCTATCCAACATTTTTATAAAATATGTTTTACCGGATCACACCTGGTGAACAAACAAATATTTGTATACAATAGTAAATCTTAAATAAATAAATAAAGTTCGGGAATGTTACTAAAAAGGATACTTCACAATCCCTGTCAACAACCAGTAGTCATGCCGACGATGCCAGATCTCGTACTCTCTCCCAGGAACAGCAGCTCTCTCTTCATTCTGCCACAAAGTGTGAAGCTCTGTAAATCCTCCATCTGCAATGTTAAACAAGAATTTTCTCTTTGGTGCATTCTGATTTGACTTATGTTCTGGTGAAGCTTGTTGTGACTGCTGAGTTTGTGGGTCTTCTTTGGTCTCCCCTTCTTCAGCCTCTTTCTTTTTTGGCTTCTCTTCTTCTTTTTCATCTTTCTTCTCAGCAGAATCTTTTTTTGCTTCTGTTTCTGTGAAGAAAAACATTTAGGTGAAATTAGTTTTTACCATCTAAAAATCACTACAAGCCTGTCATTTTTTTCTAAAGTTCAACTAATTAAACATCAGTTTTTATTTTTTAGTTTAAACAAAGTTTAACAAAGTTTGCCTATAAAACTTAAAAGAACTTTTATCAAAATCATACCAGTGTTAACTTCTTCCATTTTCTCATCATCTTGTTTTGTTTCTGAATCTTTTCCCTCCTCCTGCTTCTTTTCAGTTTCTAAATGTTCACAAACAAACTTTTAAACTTGCTGTTTTGGTAAAGTATGCATTCTCTGACAAGTTTTTAACATAGAAACATTTTAATTAACAAATATTCAATTATTGCGAAGAAAAAATTAACATTTTATTCATCCAAAAGCACTTTTTAAGTAAAAGAATCAAGAAAGATAAAATGCAGGATCCTGCATAAGTTTGGTTTTCTTCCCTCTGATTCATAAACAGAAATTTACATTATATATTTAACTTTCAAAAAGAGCATTACTTTAGCTATTTTTGATATCAATTATTATGGTATATAATGCCTTATGATGGAAAAGTGGTTTACAGATCTGTCCTACATGTGACGTTACATTACTACAAGCCTTATAATAGTTTTTAGGAATTCCTTTTTTGCCAGTCATACAAAGGACTGTTTTACAGATCCACTTTCCCACATAAATATAAAATATGTTACATAAAATCTGTTCCTTCACATTCAACACCCACTTCTCTTAGAAACGTTCAAAGAGCAATCAGGAGATACAATAAAGCATACATTCTCTCACATTTTTAAATTGTCTACAAATACAGCAAGTAAGACTTATCGAAACTAATCTCTGCATACAGTTGAAAAATACTCTCTCTTAAAGGATTTTTACTTTGACTTTGAATATACCTGATTCTTCAACTTCCATTGCCTGTTCTCCCTTGGTTTTGGTTTCTTCAGAACCCTTATCATCATCTTCAGGATTTTTTTCCTCGGTTTCCTTCGACTCTTTCATTGTAGTTTCCTGTTATAATGGAAAAAGTCAAAATTTCATGTTTATATAATATATACCCTGTTTCTAAACTAATATTATTATAGTTACAATATATTAGTTGGATTTTGTTCATATGTACATATCTAGTGGAAACTAATTCTTGCTTATAATCCAACCAATACATCAATTACATAATTTATCTACTTTTTTTTTCCTAACCATAATTATAAATGGTACACTTCTCCATTTATGTTCACTAATAAAGAAAAGTTTATAAACAAAAATAATAGACCTCATACAAAAACTTATTGTACATTTGCAGTAGACACATATGAATCATTTGGCTAGATTCTACACATTTTGTAATGAAATTAAAAATTTTACTTTCTCTACACTGTGTAAAAGAAACAAAGTTAAACACCTGCTCTTTAAAATGTGCCCATTATTATTCCACTGACTCTTTATTATAATTTCAATGACCTTTCAGACATGTGATCTGTTAAAGATAAAGCTCTATTCCACCTCAGTTGTCAACCAATAGGAGAAGGACGTGCGACTTAACTGTGAAGTATTTTACGATATTTTCAAATGCTTCAAGAAGTGAGAAATACAAATTTTATAAAATTCCATGTGTGGCACACACATATATGCAATAGGAAGAAATATTCTGCACACTTAGTGAATGTATAAAAGAAGTTACATAACAACAATTGACCAAAGAACTGTATATATCAAGAATAAACTAAGATGTGTTCCAGGCAGTATGGAGAATTAAATGTTTATCTTATATGTATAAACAGATGCAACTGTAACAGAGAGAAAGGCAGGAAACGAATTCAATAAAAAACATTAGAAAGGAAACCACAGACTCTGGGTGGAACTTTGATCAGAAGGAAGATGAGGAGAAATCATGCAAATAGGCTATTAATTTAACATCTTCAATCTTAACCAATTGTTGAATTAATTTTGGATTTAGTTCCAAGAATTATGATGAGTCAACCAAATTCATCCAATGAAGTGACAGTTGATGTGTACACTATTTAGAGAATTGTAAGAATACTAAAGAAATCTGTATAAAAATTCATGTTTTGGGGTCAGAAGTGAAGTTCTCCAGCAACATCCAAAGAGCCAGTAGTCCTTCTACCAGCCTGTTCTCTGATGTTGCCAGACCCAACTGTTCCAGATGCAATGCTGTCATGATATAAAAGACTATTTAGTTTAGATATAATTGATTAATTTATTTTGTGAGTGAATATTTTATTACTGTTTAGTTTTTGTTATAATAAGAGTTAAAAGCAGATGATTACAGGAAGTTATGTTTATAATTCATTGATGATGAGACTACCGAACGTTGCTTGAAATACAGTGACATCAAGAAGATAGAGATTTCTAGAAGGCCAGATACTTTTTCCGAATATATATATATTAGGTCATCAATAAATTAATGTCACGTTTTGGAACACTTTCATTAATCACTCCTTCAAAAACGTACATCACGTATAATAGTTAAACGAACCGCCTAAACGTCACGTTAGTGTGGCATATATAAT